TAAGGTTATTCTACAAGGCACGCAGAGCTGCTTTAAGTTCTTCTGTAGTATATCCATTACAATTAAGCTGAATTTCTTTGAAGTTTTAAATAATTTGGCTATGGGTCATTAAGTTAACAATGTCACTGTGTTCTTGCTATCTCATTTACCTGAATTAGAGTGCACTTTTATGAACGATGGTAACACTGTGTAACAAGCTGAATTTGATAGCCACTGCCAAGTGCTGATTTTGAGACAGTTTTATTTTGCTGGCAGTGTACTTGCTGAATAATAATCTGTGTCAAGTTATTCTTATAACAAGCTCATCATTGCTATGGGATTTCTTCTGAGGGATGCACTACATAAATGTTTATATAGGAAAGAAATGAATGGAATGGGATACCTGAAGGGTATAGAGTGAGGGTGAGAATGAAACTGGTACTGTGTTAGATGCCTAAATTTTTTCCTTTGGGAGAAATTTTGCATTCTTCCTAAGGAAAACTTTTGTTAAAAGAAATAGAGTAGGGACCACTCAAAAATTAAATTGCTTTGTTGTTCTCACCATTCTCATGATTAGGGTGGAAGCGTGTGTGTGAGGTTAGTTTGTCCAGGCAAGGTGCGTATTTTATTCTTCATGTCTCTGTAGACATAAAGAATAACTGTCTTCTGCAGAGACAGTTATTCTCTGTTTGGAATAACTGTCTCTGCAGAAGATGGAAAACATATTCTGAAGTATCACAGTTATTTTTTTCACTTGTGGGTGTGTATTTTTATTAAAGATAGAGCACAGTTCCATGCTGTAACTGATAGAACTTTCACAGCAGTGCTGCTTTGTTTCCTAAACCCATCCTTCTGTTTCTCTGGGGACCCTTTTTGGACAGCTGCTATTTGGATTTGGGATAGCTTTTCTGGAAGGTTGTCTAAATGAAATAATTCAATTCACTGATGCCAGTTACATATTAAAGAAGCAGGAATTACCAGTTCTTTGATTTCTTATGTTTTGAGTGCCTAGGCTGATGCCCCGGTGATAAATTTACTTTTGATCTGTCTCTACAAACATAGTTTACATTTGTTATCTCCCCGGTTGTGGTTCCTGTTAGAAAAGTTGATTTGTGCAAAGACCTTGAGTTCAAATTTTCCTTAAAGAGAGGAAGTCCAGAAGAGGGAGCCTTGGATTCAGTGTGATTTTTAGATACTGTCTTAATCAGACTGTGCTGATAAACAACATTGCTGTTCTGAGTGTCCATTGTTCAAAGAGCATTGAGGGGTTGAAGCATTCCCTCTCCATTGATTTGATTTTTTTTTTTTTTTTTTTCTTAAAAATACCACTGGAGTGCTGGTCTGAGGCTAGAGATAGCTGCTAAGAATTAACCATGCTTAACATAAAGGCACAAAGAAAGGTCATGTCCTTGAAGGATCACAAAGTACAATTGCTTTATGGGAGTATTTGTGTTAGTACACTTGGGTGGTGGGCTGTTGTCTGCTAACACCTCATAGTATGGGTTGATGCTGCTTCTCAGCCTGGGCCATGTCTGAAAAGAACACTGTCAGAAAGGAACAGGAAAAGAATGAAGTAGACAACCCTCAAATTAGTGGCTAAATTGTGATGCTGCATAAGTAGTATAAAGCAGGATGTGAATACATAGCTGTGACATACTAAGAACATACTGCAAGCATGCTTTGACAGCTAGAACAGAGCAACCACTAGTGATGACTGAACAGAGATGATTAAATTAAAAATAAATTAAACTTGCTTGTCAAGCATTGACCAATACCTGGTTTATAATCCAAAAGCCCTCTACAGCTGGAGTATACTCTCAATGCTGGCAGTGCATTTCATAACTCTTCTAATTATCTTTACAGGTTACAGCGCATAAATACCAGTGTCAAACAACTGTTTATATGCATTAAGGTCCAAGGCTTCCCCTACATGGTGCTTTCAGTTTCATCACTGGAGGATGTCTATCAGTAATAGAAAATGTCAGTGCTGTTCAGTGAACATGATGCATGTTGCCCATTGGTGTGCTTGGGATTTTGTCAGGACTGAGTGGTACATGGGCTTCTGAATGTGTACTCTGCCAGGCAGTGTAATTTCTTTACTTGGTCTTCCAGGAGTCCTGTCTCACTATCAGTGCCTTTTACAGGCAAGCACTAAAGATGCAATGTGTATTTGAGGACTTGAGTTTTACTGAGAATGGTTGAGACTGTCTTTAAAGTGTTGCTCACTGTTGCTTGGAAAACTGCTTTGTAATAGTTAGCATTATGTAATTTACTTTGTTGCATGAAATCCCTGAAGAAAGGTTGCAAAACCAAAACAAACAGGAAAAAACCCAGCAGCTGTATCTCTCTGAAGTGGCAGATGGTAATTATGTGGCAATGCTGCTTTGTACATTCAAAGCAAATACACACACATCTATACATATGGGAAACGAATTTATGCTCTTACCTATGAGTATGTATTCCTTCACCTTGTCTGGTACTATCCCTTAGCTGAGTGTACGGTGGTAGGTTATCGGTTCTGGTGGGAAATGAGGTGTGAATGCTGATCCATTGCTCCCTCACATTTCTACTGAAATAATCATACATACCATCAATAAATCTGTTTAATAGTTATTCTACTATGCTGAGGAGGAAAAAAACAGCATGGCAAAGTGTGTTTTCTTTGTTCTATTAATAGTATTCTCGGAATATCAAATCCCTCTCATGTTCTGGACCACACTGTAGCTTACGTATCTGGAGGAAAAACATGTTTGATAAAACTGACACCTGAAACTAAAATCAAGCCAATCTTAAAAATCCTTTAGTGTTGGAAGCCACATTAAGTATGTACTTATAGGTATGAGAAATTCAGAATCATAGAGGAAGGGCTGAAATACAGTATTTCTTTTCCAAACTTATCAACCTGTTTCTGGTTGGCTTTTACCCTTCACTACCCTTGATTAGAGTCAGAACAAGAACACAACAAATACAGTTTTGTCTTTGAGCTTGAGGTATCTAGGAGACCTATAATCTCACTTTTGACATATTTGGACTGTTCCATGTCACTTGAATGAGATCTTGTCAAGTTGAGCACTTAAGTCCAGCAGGCATTCTGTAACATGCACACTGTTCTTGCTTGGCCTTCAAGCTCATCAGCTCAGTCTTCTTCACATCTGGAGACTAAAACAGGAGACAATCTTATCTAATTGGGTGTGAGTGTCCCAAGATGTATTGCATTCTGAAAGTAAATTGAAGCTATTTAATGCAAAATACTGTCATAGGGCTAAACAATGTGTGTATCTGTAGTTATCTAAGATGTGATGGGTTTCTCTGGAGCATCATATTTTACTTTTTTTTTTTTCTTTCTTAGCTATTTAGATTTGGGTTTACTTTCCATGGTCCTCTAATGGATGAATGATGATAAGACAGACCTTGGAGCCAAGGTCATTTGAACTCTATTCTCTAAGAATAGGTAGCTTTACATGCAATGTATTAACAGATTGAGCTCTTTATACAGGCATGGAATATCATGTTAGTTGTACATTTACTGGCACACAATGTAGAAGATAGAATTGCACACCATGCAATTTTGAGATAAATAAGATTAGATGCCTGCAAATTACTCTCTAGAGTAAATCGGATTACTAGCACTGTCTGGCCAAAAACCCAGGAGAAAAAACTGCTGAAACCAAACATGTCAGTGGTACATCATAATGCAGAGCCAAACAGAATCTTGGATCCCATACTTTGCCTGTAGTGTGGACAGAGAACTTATTCAAAATATACCAACATATATATATATATATATATGCTTTAAATTAGATGAATAAGAAAATTCTGGTACCTTTCTGATTATCATTTCAATTTCTTTCTCTTTTTCTGTTGTGACTTCCGGAGTGTGAATGTGGCTTCACCTGGGAAAAGCTTTGTACCATGAAGCTCGTTTTAAACAAAGGGGGAAATAGAAGTCATGTTCCAGGCCTCTAGGATTGGAGCAGTATGATATCTCAGTCTGATTATGTTTTTGTACTAGTGGAGGAGAGGACATGGTACATAGTTTTTAAGCTAACTGAGAGCAGCTGTTTGCCAGTGAATAAAGCTGTAAGTTCTTTCAAATCAGAAAAGGTTTTTAAAATTGAAGTCATGCTGTTTGTGGAATAAGTGTTTCCTTATTTGCTATACATCATGTCCACTTTGCTAGTATTCAAACTATTACTGAACCATTTGTAGCTCTCTCAAAACTGTTCTTTGGCTTGGCTATCCTCTGGTGTATGCTTAAGCAAATCAACTCTAAGTAGGAACTGTAATGTGCAATCCTAATGAAACGAAAATCCAAATTAACTCTTCAGGAAAAAATCTCTATTGCTGGGAGCTCAGATGTTGCTGCTGTTCCTGTATGCTAGGTGCATTCTTTCTAGCAGTGGTATTCTGGAATATTTCCTATCAAAGATAATGAATGCTTTGTGTATTTCTATTTTAATTGCATTTAACTCATTATGTTTAGTAATATATTTCTTTAGATACCACCTGTCTAGGATTTTAGTAGTAGAATGACTTTGAAGACAACTGAGGAAAGTAGAATTGGTTTCTGTTCGGGATTGTCAGGATACCTCACAAAACCAGGAAAGGCTTCCTCATTATGTGTAAGGAAAAGCCAAATGCAGACAGACTAGAATTCTTCAGGTGGAAGAAATGCTGGTTTAGGTTTTATATTGCCCTGGATATAGGAATCACCAGAAGAGAAGAATGGGTTGGGTTTGGAAGTTCTCTACTAAGTTAGTTTCATACCTGGTGGATATTCGTTTTTCTCCCTAGTACTGTTATATGTTGTATTAGGTTTTTTTATGTTAATGAAAAGGACAGTCAAAGTGGTTGAGATCACTTTTGCTTTTACTCATTGGAAGCTTAGCATGTCATAAGATCCTGTTTGTGGCATGTAATGTGAGTTTTCATAAGTTAATGAATAATATAGAAATGCAAGAATACTAAAAGGAGAAAAATAAATAGAAGCCTGCCTTAACTTAGAATGAATTCATTGGTAGGGTGAGAGAAGAGTCTGGTTTTGAAAATGAGTGACTCCTGAAGACCTATCTTACAGAAAAAAATGAGACAGTTTGAACAAGCTGTTGGGTATTACTGTGCTAACAACACTAGATTAAGGTATGTAGACTGGATTGAGAACCTTAGCAGTTACCAATGATATGTATTAATTGTAGCACTGAGAATTTTTTTCACTTGTCCAGTTAATAACAACTGTAACCCTGGCCTGCTGTCTTGTCCTCTGCCATTGAGATCTAAATTCTGACCTACAATGTGCAATGAAAGCGTTGAGACACTAATGAAAATATCTCCATATTTGTAAGACTCTAAAATATATCACAATTTCTGCTGTTTCTCTATGGTAACTAGTGGCAACACCAGCTTTAATCTTCCAAATATAAGTTGTTTCATTGCAGTTGAAGTTCTACAGTTATTTTTTTTTTTATTGAAATGAGGAGCATGTCAAAATTGTCCTTTTCATTTTTCTTTCTGGTAATGGTCCAAAGTTGCTGGGGAGGTTCCGGAAGCCTGTATTAAAATGTAAAGAAAATGAGAATGTATCACTGTTTGTGCTGACATGGACCTTTGGTGCTATGTAATGACCTTAGACTTTACAAGTTTCTTTAATGCCTCCATAGGGAGCATTTTACTGATTCCTGTATGCTTTTGATTGCAGTCTAATTTATCCTTTGCTAAAGGCCTTGCAATCATTTCATCACACTCTGGCAAGGAATGTTTTCTACTTTAAATGAGATCTATGGTCAGCTGAACTGCTGACTTAACAACTGATGCCAGGGAGTTTGAGGGGTTTTAAGATGATGGCTCCAGGGGTTCTGGTGTGTTGAATGTTAACACCTTGTCATTAAATGTTCCTCAGGGTCAGCTGCTTCTGCAGAGGGCCAGTGATAGCTGTTGTGCCTTAAAAGAGATCCTGTTTGCATAACCAGTGCTGTAGAAGAGAGGGGAAAACATTTCCATAACGTTTTTTTTGTTCATGAAATGCCACTTTTTGTGACTGAGAGATAGTGACAGTAGCCATGTTAGAGTATGTCCCAATTTCCTGAATGCATGCAGTGTAACAGCTGTATTGTGAGTGATGGCAGTCCTTACACTCCAGGGAATGCCAGCTGGTTAAGCAGTGGCAAGCTGTGGGATGATTGTGTAGTTCACCAGGGCATCTTCTCTTTTCTTGTGTTGGTTTTGATTAGTAAAGTTCAGACTAGAGCTGTTCAGACAACAGAAATTCTGGAAGTCGAAGCATGTTTAGGCAAAATTCTTCCATCAGCTTATCCTTGAAGGATCATTCTGCTTGAAAATTTTCTCACTGTTAGGACATCTTGAAAAGATGTTTCTTATCCAGTATTCAGATGTTTTCAGTTATTTTTCACAAATAAAGCTTTGCCGGACACACTGATGTTAATGATTTAGTCTGAGAGTAAGGGGTTGAGGTCACAACATTTTTTGACTTCGAGTAAATGGCTTCCATACTAAGAAACATTGCTCAATCAATAAACTGGTTCTATATGCAAAGAGAAAAATTCTAGCTCGGTTGTCTGTTTCTGTAAAGCATGGAAAAGACTAAGAGAAAGGTTGCCTGATTAAAGTGTTTTCCCTTGCAGAGGTCTGAGTTGCTCTTGTAAATTCACTTTCATCAAGTTCAATGACAAACCAATAATTCATAATAAACATATTTTGAAATGGGAATGGAATATGTTTCATTGAAAGGGCTGTGGGAACTCTGGTCATCAATCACATCTCCCACAATTCCAATTTTAAGCTGTCTGCCTAACAAGAAACATAATAGTGCAGTCGCATATTAAACAGTGCTCGGGAGGGGAAGAGGAGTGTGCACTTGTAAACTGCACTGAAACTGTTCAGTTTTCATTTTCATTGCTTGGTTACTATGAGTGTCCTGTAAGAGTCAATACAAACTCCTACTATTCCATGCTTTATTTACAAATAAGATGAGTTCCCAAACAACAGTACTAGCGTTTTTCTTCAATTTTAGAATGGATTTGGTGGAAATCAGCTTATGTTACAGCAGAGTTGCTTTGACTTTTGGAATAATCACTGCACAAGAGAGAGATCACAGTTGGACTGTCTGGCTTATGAATTAGTGTTGTAAAACTAATTCTGGAGCATTTGGTCCCAGCATGGGAAGAAAGACTGACACAAGTGAAATGTGCAGGGGCTGTACCTTTTTTACATTTTAAGAATCACTTCAGTATTATGTTATCATTAACTTTTAAGTTCAAGGTTAGAAGAATCTTTGCTTAGCTTCTGCTTTGCAACACTATTTGTGGTATTATGTTAACAATAGATTGGGTTTAGTTGTGTTCCCCCCCCTTTTTTTAATTCTTGTTAATAGTCTAATTCTTAATTTCAGGTAAGATCGTGTTTTCCTCTTGGGGAGGGAGAACATTCATTAAAACTAACTTTATATTGAGAGAAATTACCCTTCTATCTCTGCCCTTCCGATCAAAAAAATTTGTGTGCTGATTCTGAAGGGATTAAATTAGCCTCTGAATGATATTATAAAGTCATCTTCATACCCTCCTCCTAGCATGTTTTTCTCCCAAGTACAATTATATTCCTTTGAAGCAAAGCCTTCACTTGTCTTTTTTTCTCTAGTCATGGGGAGTCTTGTGTTGTCACACCATAGCACCACAGAAGGCAAGACAGCTGGAGAGAATATGTGCTTTACAAAGGAAATGTGCATTTTCTTCCTCTGATTGGGTTTTCTGCAGTCGTCCTTTTCCTGTCCCCTGACTGACTTTAATAATGAGATTTAATAAGGATGCAAAATCTGTGGTAACTAAGATGGGCATTAATCATGCCTCTTCTGTCTTCAAATAGCCTCTAAATTAGGTCTGGATAGCTATCTAGACCTAATTAATTATCTTGTGGCTATCTGGTCCATGATGCTGTTGGTACTCTTCAACTTCTGCACACTGATATCATGTTATTAGACCAGCTTTGATCCTAGGGCACGGACTCTGCTTCTGACATCCCTGATCCATGACCCGTAAGCTGTACTCTGCCAACACTGTTACTGAAAAATAACTGCAAGCACTATTAAACACTCCTAAGGTATATACATGATCTATGTTTCACAAGAAATGTCAATTTGATAAACACAAATATGTACCATCAGATGTGATGTATGTATCAAACTTTGAATGTGTTTTCCAAAAGAAAATTTTTGCTTCTGGATTTTAACTTCTTGGAGTGTAAACCAATTCCACTCTGCTTAGGTACAGTACAAAGCAAGGTGCTGCTGAGTTCGTTTGGGAGGGTAAAACGCAAATGTCAAGCCAAGAGAGATAATGGCACATGGCTCTGCTGCCTTCACACTGCAACTGCTGATACTTATGGGTGCTGCATTGCGCTTTGTAGGCTGCCAAGCTTGACATGGGTCTCCCTGTCTGCCTAAAGACGGTTTTCTCTGCCTATATTAAAAGCATCTGCTGTTGAACATGTAATTTTCATCTTAATACAAATAAAACACTTTGATGTACTTTGCTTTTTACAGATCACCAAATGAATAGCTACTCTTTGTACGGGTTATTTTATTTGCACGGATTTCCAGGATTTTTTTTCCTCCAGAGTCAGTCAGCCCTTCACTGCAACCCATTTACACTTCTAATAAAGCTGACCATAAAATCCTATTCATGAAGCAGTCAATGTTGGATACAGTTAACGTTTCTTGAAGATGAAATATCACCTTCCATAGTAGGATCGGAAGAGTTTATGTGGAACTTTATAGCTTTATAAATGATATTTTCTTGCTTTATTTTTATCATAGTTAACTCAATTTGTATCATGTACTTCTGTCATTAATGTAAAGTTATAAACAAAAGTGGAAAAGATCCTTGTCTAGTTCAAGGTCTAATTAAAAATGATAGAGAAATTTACAAGAGAAAAGCGAAAAGCATTTCACCACAGTTGTTGGGGTAACACTGCAAGTTCTGTTTTATCTGCTTATCGCTTCCTTTTGGTGATAATCAAGTCTTAACATTCAAAAACACCATTGCAGTCGAGCCAAAACAGAAGACCTATTTTTTTTCAGTGCCTGAAGGGCCATTTTTCTAAAGCCTAGCATGGAAAGCTTTTTTCCCTGGTTCTGCAGCAGAGTACTCTTTGTATACTTTGCCTGGCATTTCATATTGGCAATGGTATGCATAAAAGGTATGCATAAAAGCAATTCTGAGAAATATTAACCAGTTCACACTGAAGTCAGTGGGAACCCCTTAGATTTGAACTGTAGGTTGCTTAAGTCTTAAAATGCTTTTGGATTATCAACTGTGGTATGTTACTTGAGAGATGATTGATAGAAAATATTTTAGAGCAACTGGCTGCTCATGACTTGCACAGGTTGGGTAAAATCTGTCTGGATGGCCATGCCCAGAGAGTGGTGGTGAATGGAGGTAAATATAGTTGATGACTGGTCACAAGTGGTGTTCCCCAGCAGGACTTTATTGCTCTCTGCAACGACTTGAAAGGAAGTTGTAACATGGTGGTCTTTTCTCCCAAGTAGCAAGTGATAGGACCAGAGGAAATGGCTCTCACTTTGCTCAAGGAGAGCTTTACATACAATATTAGGAACAATTTCTTCACTGAAAGTGTTGTCAAGTATTGGCATAGGCTGCCCGGGGAAGTGGTGGAGTTGCCATTCATGGAGGGATTTAAAAGACGTGCTTGAGACATAGTTAAGTGGTAGACTTGGCAGTGTGTGGAAACAGTTGGACTCAGTGGTCTTAAAGGTCTTTCACAACCGAGATGATTGTATAACTGACAGTGGCAAAAAAGGGTTTTATAAGTTACTTTTGTAATATAAACACTAGAACAAAATTAGGTGATGACTGATCCTACCTTTTTCACTCATTTCTGATTTGAAGTTGTATTTGTAATAGTGTGCAGGACCACAGGGATCATTGTGCCATGTCCTTTGCAAGAACCTCCAAGGGCAGTGCTCTGTTCCACAGAGCTCTTATGATGTTAGATGTAAGTAAGGCCTTCATCATTAAACAGAACATAAAATTGGAAGCAGAGGTTACAGAAAGATCTGATGTAGCAAGTATCAGCCTTGCAGTGAAGTCAGCATTAATTTGAATTGGCTGTGGCAAAGGTGGGTTCGTCCCTTCATTCTTCCTAGCAGTGTATCAGTGGAGCTGACTGGATACATAGCTTCAGGTGTCTGTTTATAGCAGTGACAACTTTATATAGTTGGTTCAAGTGTCATGCCATAAGCAATAGTTGAGGGATGGCTATAAATGCCAGGCTAACTTCCAGGTTGTCTGCAGTTATCTTGACTATAATTCTCTACCAGTTGTCTAAACTGTAGTTAGAAACATTCTGGTGAATAAACAATGAAATCTTTGCAGCAGACTGTCTTTTCCTGTCAATGAAGAGTCTTAAAGCTTAGTTTGTAAAGTGAGATTTAAATAAATTCTCTTCATTTTTAAGCAAAATTCTAAAATTTAAGTTTTTTCTATAGAAAATTTTCAAAGCCGTTCAAGATAGAATTAGTGTTGTGGTGTCCACCTACGCTGCAATTCAGCCCTGAGCCAAAATGTAATTCACTGATTTGGCACATGAGATTTGGGGGGAAAGAAATTTAATTTCAGCCTTCTAAAATATTTTTTTTTCCCTATGAGAATAGTTCTTCATGTCCACCTGATGTGGTTACTAAGCATTTGTTAAAAGTATTCATTTTCTAGTGTTGATTTTATGGTTTTAAGTGTGTTGACTAATGTTGGACTAGTTGTGGGTCTGGGGGAGGTAGAGGAAACCACTTTGACAGAGCATGCAATTCTGTGGAAACTATCTACTGTTTTGTGGAGTGGGGAAGAAGTTATTGATTTTTTGCATTTCTACTTCAGAAACAACCTTTTCTATGTACTTTTAAGAAAGTCTATGGGATCCTGAAAGAAAAGTATTCTAACTGATCTGAAAAGTGATTATTTCCCCCTGAGGTTCACTGCAAAGGCCAGTTTTTAAATCTTAGAATCTTTTTCTTTCTGCATTCTGGTGTGGGGTTTTTTTGCATAGCATTACTGTTTCTGCATGTGGTTCTGCTATCATTTGTAGAGAAGAATAGATGATGAATATACATTACGTTTTACTGTTGTTTTTTTTTTTTTTTTCAGCTATTGCTTCACTTGCATTTTTCAGTGGTTTTAACCATTGCTGAAGATATACTAATTCAGCTATTTGTGCTTTGTGGTGTTCTGCAGGCATTCCAGAAGATAGTGGTCATAGAGGGAAGGGTTTTGTAGTCAACTTTATTTCATTATTGAAGTTTACATTAAATGTGCTGCCAGGAGGCTGAAAGAAGTGATTCTGCCTCTCTACTCTGCTCTCATGAGACCCCACTTGGAGCACTGTGTGTAGTTCTGGTGTCCTCAACATAAGAAGGGTATGGAGCTGTTGGAACAAGTCCGGAGGAGGCCATGAGGATGATCAGGGCCTGGAGTGCCTCTTGTGTGAAGACAGGCTGAGAAAGTTGGGGCTGTTCAGCCTGGAGAAGAGAAGGCTGCGTGGAGACCTCATAGCAGCCTTCCAGTATCTGAAGGGGGCCTACAAGGATGCTGGGGAGGTACTCTTCATCAGGAACTCTAGTGATAGGCCAAGGGTAATGGGTTCAAACTTAAACAGGGGAAGTTCAGGTTAGATATAAGGAAGAAGTTGTTTACTGTGAGGGTGGTGAGGTGCTGGCACAGATGGGACAAAGAGGTGGTAAATGCTCCATCCCTGGCAGTGTTCAAGGCCAGGCTGGGCAGAGCCTTGGGCAACCTCGCCTAGTGTGAAGCACCCTGCCCATGACAGTAGGGTTTGAACTAGGTGATCTTAAGGTCTTTTCCAACCCAAACCATTCTATGATTCCTGTAACGATTTCACAATTGATGCTGATGTCCACGATTTAGGCAACACATCTAACTGATACACATGTAATCCTAAAGACTTTGGTAAGATTTCTTATGACTTTGTGCCCTGTTTTGTAGTGGAACTTGGGAAGAACTTTCTCTTCCTCTTGTAGCTGAGTGCCATTCTGCCAGTGCTGATTGTTTGCTGAAGCAGTACTGCCTTATGCATTTCTAGTGAGGGTGGAAATGTATAATCATATGCAGCTAATCAGCTGTGTAGAAACATAACTTTTACTGTCTGCTGGTTTGCTTTCTGGAAGCAACTGTCCACTGTAAATTGTAAATACTTATTTCTGTAAGTCTTAAGACAAACATATATAGCATTGTCTGCCTTGTACTGACATAGAGCTGTTATCTTTATTTTAATGTAAGCATGCATGCTTCTATTTATTTTTCTTCATTAGCAGCAACCCAGCTGTATTACTGAATTGAAGGATGATTACCTTCTATTAAAAAACCAGCACAGAATGTTAACATCAGATTTAATCTTTCACACAGGTAGCTTGAGAGAGGTGCCTTTTTTAGAAGCAGATAAGCTTCATGTTTTGTAGAAAACAATAGGAAGATTTCATCCTGTCTGCAGTAATGATCACTGGTTGATTCTGCAGTCACAGGCAACAAAGTTTTATCACGTGAATGAATCACTGCTAAAGTCTGAGGGCTTTAGGGCATTTTGCTTTACACAGGAGAGATTTACAGCGTCCAAAAGATGAAAAATAACCTGAGGAGCTGTGGTATGCTGTAATGGTGAAGAGGTTTTTTTGCTGCTTTGTATCTCTAAGAGTTGTTCCAAGTGCACAAGTATTCTTGCTACTTTCTTGTGAATTAGGTAAAGCTTTGTTAGCAATTTGCAGAATGAAGAAAGAGGATGTGCATGTATGCTTTTGAGACACACATACTCTGCTACACTTATTCATCAAGATTTCAATCTAAATGAGTTAAAAGTCATCTACCATTATTACTGAGCTTTGATCACCAGGAACCTTATTTATTTAGGTTTTGCTGCTTTTCACACAGCATTTAGTTATTGTTATCTGCGTGTCTGTTCTCTTATTCACTGTGCACTTGTTTACTTGGAGTCGAAGGGAACAACGTGACTCTATTCCCAATTCTGCAGTGATCAGAAGAGTAAAGGCAGTTGTGGATCCAGGGAGTTGAGTCTCTTCTGTGAAGGGGACTGCTTAATTAGGTTTTAAGTAGCTGTTTCTTTGTGCTGGTTTGAAACATCAACCACCGATGGCAGTTGATGTCTGGGGAGCTACAGTCTTCACTGTAATGCTCCTCTTTATTGGCTGAACAAAGATAGTGAAAAATTTTGAAGTATAAAGTTTCAGAATGACTCAATGTGATTGATAAACTCTCCTTCTCCTCAGAAAACTACAAAAAAATACCATCAGAAGCTCTTTGACAATAGAGCATAGAGAGGAGAAGAATATGGGAGTGAAATTGTTAGGATTTAGTTGCCCAGTTCAAGAAGTTTGTATGTGTGTATTTACCTTCTCCAATCTTAAGTTTAGCTATTATAAACATTTATAAATATCCAGAAAACAGCAACCAAAATTGTACCTTAAAAATTGTGTGCTGACATACCTTCACTGATGCCTCACTGGAGAGGTTTGAATAGCTGCAATGTGCTTTAGATACTGAGCAAAATAATTAGATTCTGCCCTGACCCAAGTTAAGATATTTGTGAGGCCTTGCTATCACTAGAATTCAGGC